ACTTGTTCCTAGTAGCTTCTTGTTACTACTAGTAAGGCACCTGTTACCACTAGCGTGGCACTTGTTCCGTTCGTATTCGTAGCGAACATTGCTGATTTGCATGAGGATTTTTGTTACTGATCGGACGAGCGGACGGCTCTCTGCGGATTTGGGCTGAGGGCGCGCTCGGGTGCGTGTGACTGTTATTTGGACTGATGACTCATGACTGATGTTTTTCTTCTTTTTCGGATGGACCACCCTGTTGGTTTTGTAGACTCTCCAAAGGATCTAGGAGGGGAGGTTTAGTGGTCTTTCAAGGTGTCTCTGTAGCAGTCTAGATGCATGACCAGTCCAACATAGCAAGATTAGCATAATTTTGTCTCGACCAGTTTGTTGTGACTGTCTTATGGAGCGTTTTTGGGTGAGCCTTCAGCAGGACTGTTTGCTTTCAAAAGCGATTGAGTTCAGCATGTAGGGTCACAAAAATTGGGTGGACAGACCACACACGCAATGAAAAGCACATACATCTACTCGCTGTAGATGAAAGATTGTCACGATTGGTTGGGCATGTCGATCCGACAAGATCATCCAGTGATTTGTTGGTTCTCTTGGAGATGTAGATATGAAGAGATCAAGGAGAGATATGAAGAGGTCTGTGCCTATCTGTTCCGTATTCAATCGGACTTTGATTGGAGGACCAATCTGGGAAGGCCCATGCTGTTTTTCCATGTATTTTGCTACGGCAGGAGGAGATCAGCAGTCGGGGTGTGAGCAAATCAAGGACGGGAGCGAAGGAAAGATATGTGAAATGAGTGAAAGGGCTCCTTATCTGCACATTCTTCCAGCTGAAGTTCTTGAGTTCCACATCAGTGATATACTATATATAGGTGCATTTTGCAAAGCACCTGGAAGAGTTGGATCAAGGAGTTCTATATCTGAGTTACGGAGGTCGCTGATTCCACGTACTTGTATCCCTCCTGAAGTTGTGCTAACTTCTTCCTGAGTCGGCGAGTCAGTGGTTGCTCCAGGATTGTTAGAGTTAACTCTGAGAAGGCACGAGCACACGTCTTCAAATGCACTCTTGTGCGGGTGGAGCCGATTTTGACAATGGGTGGACAAGCATTAGGAGACTGTTCTGTTCATCAGTATAGTTCTTATGTCAGACAGCCAGGGCCTGGAGAGTTGTTGTGGTCCGTGGAGGTGCAACGAACAGAGCTCTGGATCAGATTTGGATCTAATCTGTTAGACTGCAGCTCCGGATTTCTTGGCATCCTGAGAGTGACGGTTAGGATCCTTTCTGATTGCACTTGTCATATGGAGAAACTTTTCCCATGACAGAAAGCGACCTCTGCTGCTGAGTAGATTGTTTTGCCTTTAGACAACCCTGCTAAACTTACTGGACACTCACACTCAAACTAGTTGATGCTCATCAAAGCACTTCAGACTGTACTCACCCTTCAAGACTCGGCACCATTCCCAACGGGCACCGTCCGGACCGTCCACTATATGCTGGCTTCCGCGCCAGTGGCGCACGCATGTGCGAGGCCAGCGGCAAAGTGCAGCTCAGCATTTTGGACGATGCACAGAGGCAGCGCATGAGAAGCCTGTTGGCGGAACCCGAGGCCGCCCCAGTTGCTTCGCCGACCGTAGGGCAGCGTTCGCGTCAGCTGTTCGCAGTTCAGAGCGGAGGGCTGGTGGGACGGGGCGGATCAAGATCTTTCTTTGAACTACAGAGCTGGGCAAGATCGGCAAAGAACGATGGAGGCCCTGTACTGATCGCTGGTTTGGCTCATGCACAAGTCTGTCCATTGGTATGCTTGGATAAGCACCTGCTCGATGAATCGCTGTTGATGAGTAGATGAGCTGTTTTCAATGGTGTCTCATCTCAATTTCGGCTGTGCGGGTCCTATTCGACCAACAGAACCCATCAAGCGACTTAACAAGATGCCACTTATGGTGGTATAGTTCTCCCATGCTCTCCCCAAGGGACTGAACAACTGGAAGACTCATGTGACATCATGTGACCCTGTATTCTTTTTTCTCCCCCCAAACATGTCCCTCAAGGGACTCAGGTGATCCCTTTTTCCTTTGGTTGTCCATATCGGTTCACCGTATCGACCTCTCGCGAGCCAGTTCTTCCGAGCTTTCCGAGCCCACACGCGTCCGAGCTTTGCCCCCACGCTGAGCCGCTGAGCATCGTTGCAGGTCTTGCAGCTCCTGTGGCAGCACGAGGAAGTCTTCAAAGGCCTCCATCGGAGCTACTGCGATGACCGAGGCGGGGAGAACACAGCTCACCGCTCCTGACAGACGAGGAAGCTCCGAGAAGAGGAAGGAAGGAAGAGAGGTGGAGTTGGCGTTTCTTTTTTTTGGTCAGACCTTAAGATACCATCAGAAATCATGGATTTGGATTTTGGTTGAGGCATGCTTTCTCACCTTGTATTGTAGCCGGAGTGATTTGGTGTAGACAGAACTCGCAGCGAAAAGCCTTAGTGCGCTGGCTGGTGATGATGGTTCTTGATCCATGAAATTGGTTTTTGAACATCACACGGCTATCAAGTGTCAACATATGCAGCATGTTTGATCACTACGAGAAAGCCTATAGGGTTATTTGCTCTTCCTTGAGATGCGACAGACGGGGTTGGGGCATGAGTTGCTCTAACAGAGTGTCATGTTCGTTGAATGGCATCCATCCTAAACAAGCAGCAGGTTTGGGCTTTACCGGTGAGCCCACCGAATGGTCCATTCTCTCGTGTTTCCTGCCCGTCTCCTTCGTCTTTTCCATCGAACTTGCAGTTCCTGGGGAAGCCGAAGCAGCCGAAGCCCAAGCGCCTAGTGGATCCTCTAGTGGTTCACGGTTGGTTCCAAAGACTTGAGCACGAGAGGGACCCCAGTCCCTGCAGGAAACGCAGTCCTAAACTATCCTACACTCCACACCTCCGCACAAGATCCAATGGTTTCTTAATGACCTGAAGCTGGGCTCTATTTTGAGACGCCCACTCCCAAGTTGGATCGCTTCAAACTCCAGTCCCGGTGGCCTTCTTCGGACATCCCGTGAAAGACCACGTCCTTCCTTTGATCAGGGTTCATGACATCATATGACATCCACATCCAAGTACGGCAGGTCACATCAGCTTTGCGTCCATGGTGCAGCTCTGTAGCGACTTCGGTTTGGTCGGAGCCCCAAAAAACGGGCAGAGGAAGGATGAACGCGATGAGACCAAATTGCATGGGCAACGGATGGGTGTAAAAAGAAAGCAATTCTTGATAGAATTGGGGGACACTTGGAACACTAATATGTTCAATTTGATAAGTATATATATATATATATAGTTAATCATATACACATATTATAGGAGCTGATGGAGATTTTCCTTTAAACTCTTTCGCATTCAATTAAATTGAGGATGAACAACATTGTCGGTCGCACGCCTGCCGGCTCCATCGTGGTCACGACCCGATGAGTTGATGTGGTGTGAGTGTCTTGTTTCTTGGGAGAGACGAGCAGTGGTTCACTGAAACTAAAATGGCAACGCAAGGGACGAGTAGCCTGTATGGGGGAGGAGTGCACCCTGATTATCCCTGGTTGGAGTGGTAATATCCTTTGGTGTGATTGGCTTGTCCCTGGCCCAGTCAATTTCCAAATCGACCCATTTCGGGTGGAAGGGTCCAAAGAGTAAGAGGAAGTCAAGAGTCGAGTCAGGGAGGCCAACTACCTGCAGGTCGTTGTCATCCCCTTTTTTGGGGGGCCGGAGCACTGAGAGCAGCATTTTCGACGGTTTCGACGGTTTCGACGGTTTCACCTACCGGGAGATTGAGCTCGCTGAGGCCCCACGGCTCATTAGCTTGCATGCGCTCAGAAAGATTTACGAGCCAGGACCTCTTGGGAGCTGTGGGGAGCCGCGGGGAGCTGGGAACGAAAGGGTTCCCTGAAAGGTCCAAAAAGAGCGAAGACAATTCCGCCGGGTGTCCAATGTTTCTCTTGATCCCCCAAAGTGGTGTTGTCACGATATTGGTGGGCCCAACATGGGCTGTTATTTCATTGGTGGAGAGACTACCTTGTGTGATGCTCAATTTGCTGGATCATCCATTGGATCCCCTTCGCAAGGCGGTCAAGCCTCCGGGCTCGGCAAGGGGACGATGAAAGAACTTTTGACTTTTGGTTTTGACTGCGGTTGACCGGCTGGTGTGTCTTTGGCTTTCAGGATGGGGTTTCGAACTTTGGACATGAAGACAACTTAATTGTACCTCGGTCTGCCAACATGACCTCTTGAACATTGGTAGTTTGGCAAGTTGCGGCTTGGTGGGGAGGATGGGGGTGGTTTTGTCGGTTTCTATGTGCAGATAATGGCGTGTGTGCCAACACAACATCCACCGGCTGGGTTTCGCTGGTGTCACGCACCAAGCCGTGTTTTGAGGTGTTTGGTGCAAAACACACAGGCGTTTTCGGACTTCTAAAGAGAACGAGACAAGGTAATTCGTGCAAAATACGTCTGATCACGGGGCCCTGAGACTCCTGAGACTTCCACCGCTGAGGTCGCTGGAATGTCTGGAGGTTGAGGTCGACGCCGATTTGGAGAGGTTCGGATCCTCACCGGTCTCGTCTCGCATCAAAGCGAACGTGTCGGTGGGACGCGTGTGGTGGGAAATACGAGAGGGAGCAATGGGGTGATGGAGAACAAAACCCAAATGAGGTGACCCACATCCATGGCTTAAACATAGAATCTATTTTTCATGCGCACTGGAGCACCCTTGTGAAGGATTGCAGATGCGTTGTTGCAGACGAGGCGGAAAAACCCTTCCATATTTTGAGCTAGTGCTGGCTTATCATAACCTTTAGAACTTTGTAGAACTGCGGGGGATGAGAAATGGCAACAAACACATTCCTGGCAAATACTCACATTCTATAAGTGGATCTTTATACAGATGAGTTGATTATTTGGGTTACCAGGCTTGGCCAAGGACCGTGCGGGCTAAGATCTTCCATGACCCTTAGGACGAAGCGGTGTTCAGCTACAGCCCTTTGCCTTTGGCACCGGACCACACGAGCGATGGAACGTACGGTTCACGCGGTTTGTCCCGGTACGGGTTTGTCCGGTTCACGTGTCCGGTACAGTCGACCGTTGGATCGAACGGTCGTGACGTCGTGACCGTTACCAAACACACGACTGTAGAAGTCACTGTCCACAGAGGAGGACTGTTGGTTCTGTCACTGGCTGCGTTTCACGCAGAACGAACACGCTTCTGGAGGAATTTCACACGATGTTGCTTTAGAGGTCCAGCGGCTGCTGGTCTAAGGAGCAGCTCTAAAGTGGAGCGGCGGAAAAGATGGAAAGAGTTCTGATGAAGCTTGCCGCGGCGAGCTGCAAGAGTTCAGAACTTCAAACATCCAAGTTGGGCCCTATGCCGCCGCCCGAGGAAGGCCAGACACTGCAGCTGTTCAAGTCGACCATGCCGCTTGATGAGACCGAAGAGAAGGAGGGGCTAGACCAAGACATTGGTCCGCTGACAGATTGTGCCAAAGTGCACAATCTGATCACGCAGAGAGGTGGACATGCCGACTCCAGGGCACAAGTCTACTTCTACCACTGCTCCCGATTCCACTCAGTTCCTGGAGTTAGAGCAAATACAGCTGGAATGCAGAACAATACGTTGCTTTAGTGGAAACGGCTGCAAGTAGCACTCTGAGGGGCAACGAGATGCACAGCGAGATGCATCCTGCGCTGGAGGTGGGGCTTGATCTCGCTTCGCTTCTGAGTTGTCGAGTTTCCGGGTTGCGCAGGCGATGGCCAGAAAACAAATAATGCAGCTGGAAGAAGAGCTTAAAAAGGTGCAGGAGGAGGGGTGAGGTGCAGGAGCAGGCTCAGTGCAAGACGTTTTAATTTAGAAGGCCGTGCTTGAAGCGACCAAACGATTTCAGGAAGCAGCTCGAGTTGCCATGGGAGGGGCCGATGATTTTGCTCCCACAGTCGCCAGAGGAGACGATGGCTGTTAGGAGGACCAGGGTTGTTCGATGCAATTGTGATCCACAATCTATGAAGAGGAAGGCGTTGCAAGCAGCTTAGATATATGTGTGACATATGGTTGGTGGAGAAGCAGGGAGACTATGAGGCGATTGTGACAGACAATGTCAACCCAGTCAAACAGTCAAGGTCACTCTAAGGTGACCTTGCAGATGGCAGTCAAAGCACTTGATTCTGATGACGATGGATCGTCGTTGGCGTGCAGTTTTCATTCACCGTATACTACCAGCTAATATTGTCACACAGAGGGCCTGACTTGTGGTCAACGAATCCTCGATTTGGGGTCGATCAAAGAGCCGCTGCAAAGATTGCTGTTTCAGAGTGACGTGACTGAGCTGTTTTCACAAGGCCAAAGCAGGCCCTTCTCTTTGCACAGCTCGTTGTTTTGTGCTTCGCGGTATCTCAATTGATGTTCGGAACGGAACCAAATTATGCACTAATCATCTCCTTTCTCTGCCCATGTCCATCATCTGGAGGGTACAAGGGTATACAGGTGTGTTTTTGGTGCCCAGGTGAAGAGTCCCTTCACAATGTTAACGAGACCAAACCTCGTTATATAAAAGACCTAGGTACCAAGCCTAGTTTGACATGTATGCGCTGTGTGTGCGTCTAAGGCTGCGGCTGACCCCAATGGGTCAAAAGACATCTCTGACCGCTCTGGTCACCTTGTGCCATGCCAAAATGGCGGGCAGCTTAGACCGCTGGTCACCTAAGGGCTTGCCCGAAGGCTGCCTAAATACTCAGATTCAATAATCCGTCAAGTCTTGGCAAATAACTTTGGCTTAAACCTCCTGCTGTCCGCTACGGACAGCCTACATTCCCAAGCCGGGGAACATGGACAAACCCCCGTTCAACGCCGCCACAGGGAAAACTCCTCGGGTACACCCTGGGCTCTCACTAAGGAGAGACATGCTCGAGAAATTGCGTGCTGAAATGAAAGCCACTCGTCCCGGCAACCTAAGTGACCAGTTTCCTAAGAGTACAGGTAGAATGAAACCTGAATGAAGTAGAGTCCGAATAACTCCCTCAGTGACCTCCATGAAGCCTCCAAAGCCCACTGAGCTCGAAGTTCTCGAAAATTGGAAGCTGCGACAGGCTGACGACGATCGCTCATGTCTGCAGAACTCATTAGCACCTTACAGGAGAGTGGAGTCACAGCTTGGTCAACAGTTCAAAAAGGAAACAGGTACGTGGAGTTCATCACACTCCATGTCAGTAGTGGCATAGCCCTCTTCGTTGGGCAACCAGCTATGCGCACGAGGTTGCCCCTCTGCCACAAATCAACGGATTCCCTGTGGTTGCAAGGGCTTCAAGCACACACACACACACCCAGAGTTTGTCTATAATACAGTGAGACCCATGACCTTTGTGATTCTCAAAATATGCCTTCCCGGACTACCCGGGTATACTATACAAATATATATATATCTATTTATTGGACGTAATATCTGTATATAAGGCAATGTAATGTAATGTAATGTAATGGTACGGTACTGTATGGCATGGTATGGCATGGCATGGCACGGTATGTAATGTAATGTA